TTTTTGTGGAAGTTTTTTAGTTTAATTTATGTTTTTAATTTGATTTATATTCTGGTTAAGTAAATATAAAACAACAAAATATTTTGAAAATATTATTCCAAACTAAATAATCCTTTTTTAAATTCGGATTTTATTTTTAAGCAATAATATGGAGGGCTGTATTTTTGTACAGCTTTATAAAAAATTTTGAGAACGACAAACTGAAATCAAGATGCTTTTGATATTTTGTGGATATAATTAATGTTTTCTAAAATTTTGAATCCATTTTCGTCAAATAATAAATAATTTTAATTAATAAGGAATTCATTGAACTTATATTTCCTGTTAACCACTAAAAATTATTTTATTCAGAAAGTTTTGTTTTAATATATCACTTATTTCGATAACATAATTTATTAATAAAAAAATAACGTTTTATTGTACTATTATTAAATATAATATATCACTATTAACTATAAGAATACAAAATCTATTATTTAGTTAAGGGCTGTCCAAAGAATGGCCCGCGCGACACATGCGGCCCGCGGCTAATGTTTGTGTGACCCGCGACATGTTTTTAATCTACCACAATTACGCAAATTTTTTTTTGGTCTAGTGGTAAAACCACAATATTTTATTCTTATTATCCTATACCAAATAAATGAATTTAAATTGATAAATTAATGAAACTAAATTTAACATTATAACCTTATTTTTATTTATGTCGAAAACAACTATGAAATTATGTATTTGTTTCTGTGGCCCTTCAGTCTGTACAGTGATTTGTGTTGGCCTGCGATCACATCTAGTGTGGACAGACCTGATTTTGTTAATTCTGATTAACGTCACAACTCAAACTTTAAAAAACAGTTAATTATTATTCAACAGTTACGATCGTTCAAACAAATCATAACAGAGGGGCAGTTAGTGCCCCAGATATTGTAATTTCTAACATGACTTCCCCAACGCTGTAATCCTAAGTTTATAACATAATGCTCTAAAAATTTTGAACAATCTTTTTCTGTTTTCTTTTTCTTTGTTGAGTTATGTATATTAATTTTCTTTTTGCCATTTCATCGTTTGAGTTGTGATGAGTATGCTCAGCTCACTGGAGTCGTTGGATTTGAAAAAAGTCGGCTATGCATACGTCACCAATTGCTGCTCGAAAGTCATTCTTGTAACTCGTCCTTGACAATTTTAAATTATGGATACATTATGTTACTTGATATTTAATTAAGTAGGGACCTTTATATCAAAATTATAATAATTTAATAATATAAAAATCATATTATATTGTATGAATAGTAAAAATATTTCAGATACATAAAGCAGTTACCACATAAAGAATATAATAACAACACAATAAAAGATAAGTTATATTTCAAATTCGATAAATCAAGCTATAAATACTATGAAAGGAGTTATATAATAATTGTGTCTCTATAATTCTTTACGTATTTATTTCAATGGGCCTCTTCATTTACGATAAAACTAGCATTGTCATACGAATTAAGGAATACAATAACAACATATGGGGATGCAGTGGAATAAGATAGCATAGATGCCAATGTGTAATGGATGGTAGGTTGGTAACTGAATTTATTCCAAAGACGCCGCTGCTGCTGTCTTATCGATCAAAGTAAGACATATTTCATTTCATTTTTTTCATTTAAAAACCCAACATTCACATAAATAATTTATTTTATTAGAACGTCAAATAGAGTTAGTAAAAACTCATAAGTGCTTAAAGTATCTTTTATAAATGTGTAAATAAATTCGAAAAGAAAAGCAAGCGAAATGATATAACTACCAAATATAACATATATATAATAAAATTTTTAAATATAAAGCAACAATATTAACTAGTTCAAAATACAATATTAAACCAATATTATCTTATCTAACTAGTTAAAGAGTTGAACCAATGTGATTCTTTGATTGACCTAACTTTGTTTTAAACAAAAAAACAAACCTTAACATATAAGAACAGAAGAGAAACAAAATTCTTATCTTTTAATAAGAACATTAGGTTATGTATATTAATTTCCATCACATTTTTATATGGGATGGCCATGCACCTGTTTTCGCCATATATCCATCATCAGTGATCTTTGGAAAAATCTGTTGGTTTAATTGTCCGTATATAATTTTTAGACTTTGCAAGTGCCAGAAAATTGAACCCTTTTAGCTTTGAACCGTGGACCCATGTGTTTAAATATACAAAATCAATGTAAACTTTATTTAAATTATTCAATTTTCATGTCACATGATATATAATTTTTAATTATTACTTTTTATGTAATGCAGGGTAATAAATAAATTGAAAGTAAATATACAAGAAATTAATGGTGTATAAAATACCATTGAATTATTAAGTACTTTCGTATCACAGACAACTAACTATTAATGTCTAAGTATAATATAAATATAGATGTCCAACGCTAACTATGAAATAGGCAACGATTTAGTTTTTTTTTCAGCTAAAGTCATTCATACTAACACTTTTTTAAATCATAATCTATTTGAAAAAACAATTTTTGTAATTTGCTTTATGAGCTCATGTAATATATATTTAAAAAAATATAAATATATTTTTAATATATATTATTCATCTTTTGTATTGAGGGAACTTAACTTTATTTTTTCTTTACTTAATACATGTGTTCTTTTATATAAAAATGTACTTGTGAATTACATAGATTAAACGGTAAAATTTCAACATTTTCTTTGATCATTTATTTTACATAACTTTGAATGTCTAGTTATAATTTATTTATTTCAAAATTATAATTATTATTTTAATTTTATACACAAGTATTACAGAAACTTCGACTATGAAAAAGAAGATCACCCCGCGTACAACCTGTAAAGCAAAACATGGATATATGTCTTAACTTCTTAAGGACCATAGGACCGAATTGTCCCAAGTGAAAAATATTTATTTATTAATAAAAGATAATTATGCAGTTACTGTTTTTTCTCACTAATGCAAGTTTGACCATTGAAAATTGTACATATTTTTTTTGGAAAATATTGGATCCTAACAGTTTACTTGAAGTTTGAAAATCAAGTTTTTTATTTGTTGAATAGTCATTATCTCTTAATAACTGCTCTTAATAATAGAGCAACACATTTTTTTTAATTATTGCTTAATTTTAATTAATATAACAATATTTTAAGTCTGTTTATTGTTTTTGAGGAACTCGCAACAACCGAACTGGAACTGTAATAGTTGCCAATCGATTGAGATTAGAATTCGGGACATTATGTAAAACTGACTTACGACTTTACTCTTAATATGGAACGAAATTTATAATAGCTCACTACATTAAATAATTTGCTGACATATTTCAAATCATCAAATTGGAATTTAAGAAGTAGTGTAGATGTGAACCAGAACCGATTACTTATTTGAATGTGATTTATTATATATACTAGCAGAAAAGCGTGTGGATTTCTGCGTTATGGTCATGAAGAATTAATTATATTTCCACTGACAGAACAGATAGAAAGGTACTGTGCAAAGAATATTTTGATAACATTTTTAATTCATCCTTGCTAAAATACGAGTTAACATATCACAAAATAAAAGCATGTAGAACGGTTCAAAAAAACTGAATCCCGATAACCAAAACAATTTTTTTTCAAAATTTATTTATATTAGTCTTTACTGTATCCCAATTAGCAACTTCTAAACCAAAAATCTATCGAAAGGTTATGATCCTTATGGAATCAAAAAAACTGTGTATGGAAATACTAACAATATACTTAAGATAGAACCCAGTGATTCAAAGAACGGCCGGGTCTACGTCCCAAAGTCACTTGTCAAGCTCCACGTCCAAGCTCCGCTCGCTACACCCAAATGGGACTACACAAGCAGATCACTTTTAGTTACATCATGCAACTCAATAATTAAATTAATAAAATTAATTAGTTAATTAAATTAACTCAATTCAGATTTTAGTTTCTTGCATAAAAATTGATTTAATACTATATTTTATAAATTTGTAATTAATATCTAAAAATAAATTTGAATAATCTATATGTCTGGGTTAAAAAATCTTTTAAAAATATTCAATACTCCATAAGCACTTGTTAGATACGCAGCAAAACGTTGTCATCTTACATTATGCGTACACTGATGTTTAGGTTGACGTTATATCATACGTGACTTACCGCCAGTAAGATTAATCTAACCTAGCCTATGTTTTAAAAAGTTTTCAAGATTATAAGAAGTTAACCGTTCAATAGAACTTATGAGATGAATGAGTAAATTTCTAGGTGACGTATACAAGTATAAACTAATTATAGAAAACTATCAATCAATTCACATCAGTTAATTGTTTGGTCTTACGCACTCAGATTATAAATAGATACAACCGGCTGCATGTCTTATGGAAACTTAACTCGCTAAAGCCTTATGCAAGTCCCTTTTGTTACCGAGAGAATTTAATAAGATACGTAATAGGAATAGGTATGAACGGGATACTAGCTCCCCAGATTGATCTTTTGTACTGCATAAGATACGAAATAGTTGGATTTCTTTGTACTAAATTAATATTTTCATTTTCTATGAAAAACATAATTAATAATATAAGATAACCACAAAAAGGAGACGTGCACTTATTTTATCGGCTTATATCTGCACAGAAGCTATAACTGATATTGAAATAAATTATATATTCAGAACAGTGCAATATATGTTCATTGTAGTTTACTAAAATTGTTTATATCATATTTTGTGTGAAATTAAAGAACTTGTACTTGTTAATACTTAATTAATATAAGTCTATGTCTAATACTATTTCACAACAAATGCTTCGATTTACTTGAGATTTTGTTTTGCCATGAAAAGAATTATACACATATCTTATAAAAAATATAATATAGATTAACGTCTAAGTAAGCACAGGGAATATCGAACGCTATTTAATCTTGAATCTAGAGAAATATAAATTCTTAAAGTTTGACTGCTTAACAGAGCTTAGACAAATTAAAAATATTTATATATTATTCAATACATAAAACATATATTTTTTTTAATTTTTCTAAAAAATTAACACATTTTTATATAAAATTACTTTGATTCTTCAACTTTAACAGATTCGTTATATTGTTTGTGCCAATCTAGATTTTGCTTGGAAACAGATTCGCCACGTTTCGCAGCTTGTTTGCCACTATAGATCATTATACAGCAACCCACAATAGTAAGTCCTATCATTATATTAGCCAAACGAATACGCACTTTATTACGGCAACGTTCCATTTCTTCATAACTAGAATAAAGAGATAAATATTAATATAGTTCATTTTATAATGATATTATTTAAACAAATACCTACCTAATAATATGATTAGCAATATTAACAACAATAAGGTTCATAAGAACATAAATAAGACAAAAATTCTGAATATAATGAGTTATAAAAAAAATTGAACTTTTCTTATATCTAGGAAGGTTATAAAATGGGGATTATATTTTTATTAATTCATATTTCTTTATAAGGCTTAAATGAAAAAAAAAATCATTGAACTCCCATCTGTGGTGCTAAGAGTTATAGCAGTGTTCATCGGATACTACGTTAAAGTTATACTGCGGCAAAGTTATAAGCTATATCTTTCTGGTATAAAAAAAGATTAAAAAGTAAAAGCAAGTAGAGAAAAAGAAATGTAAAGGACAAATTCAATTATTTTACATTAAAACAGATTTTCAAATGTAATTTTTATTTTTATAATAATATTATTGCACGCATTTTAGTTCAGAAATTCGATATTCCCTGTCTTTTAAAGTTTATGTGATTCACTATAACAAAGAATAAGATTACAAATCCATTTTAAAGTCTAATAGACCATAAATAAAATTATTTATATTATATTACTTATTAATGTTATATTAATTATTTATTCATTAGTAATTAAAAAAATTATGATATTTTTTTAAATACAGAAAATATGTTTTTTTATTTAAACCAATTCAAAATTTTTATCACAAAATATATATAACGATAAGGAAGAAAAGATTTTTAAAATGGAAAAAAGAACAAACAGTTGGATTTCTGACTTAGTATTAAATAATGAATACTTTTTGTGTTTTTGTAAAGATAAGAGTGAATAATTGTTGTAAAATTAATTATAAACAAATACTAATAACATTACAACTTCAATTTGTAGTTAAATGAACATATTTATTTATATAAAAGAAATATTATTTTAATGACAATGTTTTTTAAAATACAGAAAATATGTTTTTTACATTTATGCTTATCATAAAGCTGTATATTATAATATTAAATAGAAGATTAAAAAAATAAATAGAAAAAGGTTTTATAAATTTAAGTTAATCAGCATAAATAAAAAATTATATATGTACATACATATATCCGCAGGCCAATATAGCAAGAATAAGCAATTCTCATCATACAAAACGTGTTTTTAAATGTTTAGGATTTTTACTTTAAGCCAAAAATGTTTAATTACCATATTATACTTATATAATTTCAACGATAAATTTTAACTTATTATAATTAATTAATTTTTTTTTTTTTGCAAAATCAACCACTAGAATAATATAATAGAAAATTATAATTTCAATTAAAACTTCCATGCCTTTTAAAATTACTCATGTTACTTTTAATATCATTAAAAGCATTCAGGAGTAAGTATATTATCATTAACGGAGCCAATAATTATGCACTCGATTTGAATATTGTTACAAAAATAAATATGAATTTCATCATTCCTAAAATTTGTTGTGCTTTCTTTATTAAAAAAAATTGATTGTTTATGATAAAAATTATAAGCATATTTTGAAACTAATATAATTAGCACTTTAGCGAAAGGAAAATTTTATTATTCCACTCTGAGCACTAATTATTAAAAATAATAACAAACTTTACAAAGGACTGCATTGGTTTCCTTATTTTGATTAGTTAATTATAAATTAATAATGGGTTAAATTAATAATGAGAACTAAATATCTCTTACCTGACATGACTTGGAATATCAGAAATATTTTTATATTTTCCACTCCAAACTAAAAACCGTTTTTCCAGATTGTTTGGAACATGACTTTTAATAGCCTGGCACAGCGGTTGACCAGTGGAGATGCTACGTTGAATCAACAAACTTCCACGCTGAATTGCGGAATACGAAACTTTTATATGCCGAAACATCTGAAAATTTAAATTTATTCTTTCGCCAATTAATAAAAAATATTTTATGCAGCTTTAATGGTAACTGCCTCTATTCTAAACTCTCACATTATACAACATTCGATCCCGTACCTTTCTATATAAATCAAAATATTACTCAGCTGTTCGTAGTGCTGGTAAATAATCGATAAATTTTACAATACTTAATAGATATAACAATTAATATTATATATTTAGCTTATACTATGTTTAGAGTAAAATATATATTATGTATTTTAAATTACTAAACTTAATTCGTCAGATGTATAGTTGCCATTTTAAACATAGTATCTCTTCAATAAGTTGAGCGTTAATTTTTTATAGATTTTTTTTAATTAGAAATATTTGTTTAAATATGTTTAGTATTCATTTGTATATTCAACACTAATTTGTATTATTAATGTTGAATATACAAATGTTCACATATATATATATATATATATTATCTTCTTTTAGTTTATTATTATTGTTAGGGGATGTGGCACTGTGACCGTAAGATCTATTGTGCCCCCTTCTGGGTTTAGAGTAGGTCTCTAAGCCTTGTTGCGTCAACAAAAAGTAGTATCATACTTTACAGAGTTTTATTGTCTCTTTCGTAAGAATACACATTCCCAGGAGCCTATTCCGAATGTGCATTAGGGTATTCTAACAGCACATGTGTGACCGACACCTCATTCTCTTCAGAGAGTTTGCATCCGTAAGTATACCCAGTCTTGTAGGGCGGTGTTTTAGTTTACAGTGCCTTTTTTTAATTTAATGTAAAACAATTTTTTTTTAAATTTTATAAATACATGAATAAGCAGCTGTTATTTTGAGATGATATTTATTAATATATCGATAACACAAAAACAAAAAAATAATAACCTTAGTTCTTGTCTGAAACACTCGGTAACTTAATATTATTTATAAATAATTGATTACAAAAGTAAAGAAAATGATTTGTCGGTTTCGGTGTTGGACTTTTGCTTCAAATGCTTTTCTACAAAAAAGTTCAGTGTTAAATGCAACAAATTGTATTAGAACTCGATCTCGTGGTGCAATATCAAGTTTTTCCCTCGTTCGCCATATGAAGACATTAGACAAGCCTAAAGCATCAGATATAGAAGATGCACTTCAAATAGAGGCAAATTTATTTGAAAATTCATCTTTAATAAATAAACCAGTAACATCTAATAAATTTCGAAATCAAAAGCCACAAGATTTTCAAATAAAAAAATTTCCGAAAGTTAAAGCGAGTTCAAGTCTCAATAAACCGAATCACAAAATCATTGATGATACCGAATTGGGTTTGCAATTTATTAAAACAAGTTCTGTAAATGATCCGATAATTACTAAGATAATGACTGATGTACGTTCCAGAAATCGAAAAGACAAGAGAGGTTACTTTGTATTAGAGGGAGCACGTTTAATACGAGATGCGCTTAATTGTCAAATTCCATTGGAAACTTTAATTTTTAGCAAAAAAGAGGAATTAGAGAAATTAAAAACAGAATTGGCAGATGCACAACGTAATTTTCAAACCAAAATTTATAAGGTAGCTTATCATGATATCAAAATTTGGTCAACTCTTACCACACCACCTGGTATAATGGCAATATTTAATCATTCCAATAAGGAAAAGATTGCCATTAAGTCAGAAGAACCAATACTTCCTATAACTGTAATATGCGATAATATAAGAGAACCAAATAATCTTGGCAGCATAATACGTACATGTGCAGCTATACCATGTCAACAGATAATTGTTACAAAAGGTTGTTGCGATCCCTGGGAATCCAAAGCTCTGCGCGGTGGTTGCGGTGGTCAATTTAGAGTACCAATTAAGGATAGGGTTGATTGGGAACATATACCTTTGCATATACCACCAGAAACGGCTCACGATTGTCATGTATTTATAGCAGAAAATAATCTAGAAAAATTAAAAAATAATAAAAACAACAAAGGTTATTTAGATGTTAAAGAAATTGGTGCCCACAACATTGTTATAATTGGAGGTGAAAGTCACGGTGTCAGTTCAGATGCCTACAAGTACATAAAACATTTATTTATTTAAGATAACACCACTAAACTTATTTTTCATTCTAGGTTAATGGAGATTGTTGGAACTAAAGGACAATGTTTACATATTCCATTAGCAAATGGTGTCGAAAGTTTAAACGTGGTTTCAGCTCTTACTTTAATACTTTACGAATTAAGGAAAAATATAATTAAATTGGACATAAGCGCTGACAATTATTAAAGTTAATTCCTTTTATAAAAAATACATATAAATAAAAAACTCACCTAGTTAAGTTTAAAAAAAATCGCTTTTGAAATGATTTCTATTAAAAAGAAAATGTTTGTTTTTCATACATATTTAAAATTTATATTTTAACTTAGGGAAAGTTAATACTTTAATTATTCATAATAATTTTATTTTGGTTGATTCCATATTGATTGTATCATATCTCCGTTTTTAATTGCTGCCTAACGATTTTAAACAGCAGAATGTTTGTGACGACTTATGATACATTCATCCATATACAATTAGCACCTCATTTTTAATTTCTATGGTATTTCATAAATGAAAGATTTGTAAGTAAGTTTTTTGGTTCCCTCTTTCAAAGTATTTTGGAACTTTTTTATTTATTATTGTTTCGTCACTGCATTTTCTTCAATTGTTTCATTAATTAAAAAATTTAACAAACTTAAAAATTAATAAAATATAATTTACAAATTTATATTCATGATTATATACATTTATATATTTATACAATCGCGAATATATTGGGCTATAAAATAAATATGTAGAATTTTATATACATAAAAAGCAGATAAATATAAAAATCTTTGCATTACAAATAGATAGAAATTATCCATATAACCAAGAACAATAATCTTTAAGAAGCATTTAATAAATAATATTTTAGTGGTATAACGTGTGCCGCTGTTATATGATAGATATAATTCTATTGTAAACAAGTTAAAACTGTTATTAAAAAAAATTGATATTAGTTGATTCAGAGCAGTGAACTCGAGCAATAAGTTATGTTAATAAGGCTAGAAATTAAAACCACCTTGAGGAGTATCGATATCAGAACTAAACGTATATTGATTATTTTCAACTGAAGGTGCTACGCGAACATCCTCTTCCTCATTTCCAAAGTATTGTTCAATGATATAAAACGATTTGTGGTAAATGTCACGATTTTCATGCGACTGTAAATACTCGATTTTATCCAAACCTATTTAAAAATTATAAATTTTTTTAATAATCTCATATTATTTCTTTAAAATTTGACTTTAGGCATAAATGTACATATCATATAATTTTATTTACCTCCACATTCTTCAATAGCCATAGCATATGGATTAGGCCGAGCTGGAAACTTTTCGCCTGCCTTTAAAATATTTTCCAAAGCATTTAAAGCTACTTGTATAATGTCAGTGTCTACAACTGTTAGGAACTCACACATAGGAGGTATGCAACCAACGTGTACCTATGATGATAAATATTATGTTGAATTCATTTTAAAAAAAAAAAAATAATTTTATTACTAAATATCGAATTTGTTCTGCTGTTCCGCTGCTAGTAGCATTAGTAATAGCCCATGCTGCTTCTTTTTTTGTTTTAAATTCAGCTGTTTGCATAATTGTCATTAATATAGGAAATATATTTGCATCAATAACTGCCTGAATCTGTTGACGATTTCCTGCAGCTATATTCGATATTGTCCAACAAGCTTCTTTTTTAATAGTTTCCATTTGAGATGTCAATAAAACACTTATACATGGTAATGCATTACAATTAAGTATAACCTGTGTTTGCACATCGTCTCCAGTAACGATATTACCGACTGCACGCAAACAAGCAGTAACTACATTATTTTGAGGATGCCTTAAAATTAAATATGGTTATTATAAATGAAAAAAGTTGTATATAAATACTTATATTTACATAAGTAACTCAACTAAACGCCGACAAACACCAGCGTCAATAACTGCCTGAATTTTGTCATTTGGTCCATCGGACAAATAACTAATTGCCCAACATGTATCACTTAAAACGTCTGGATCATTATGATTCAGTAGTCTTGCTAATATAGGCAATCCCTGAACAATTTTTGTAAAATCTGCTGGCGGATTTTTGCCCCTACATAAATTAGACAGTGTCCAAACAGCATTTCGTGTCATTGTTAAGCCATCTGTCGTGCTAAGCACACTACAAAAGGAATTTAAAAAATCTTTAATAATGAATTGTTATAATATATATGTAAAGTACAATATATATTATGAAATATATTACTAACTGTAATAATGGCTGTAATATTCCTGAGTTAAGCAAGTGATCACGGCATGTTGGAGAATCTCCTGCTATATTTCCTAGAGCCCAAACAGCTTGCTCTTGCACATCATGGTGGGGACTCGACAACAACTCTATAAAAATTGGCACTGCACCAGCATCTATAACAATTTTTGTTTGTTGAGAAGTTCCAGATGCAATATTGGTTAATGTCCACGCTGCTTCAAACTTTTTTAAGAATGTGTAAGATGATCGAACGCATTTTTATTACTAAATTTAAAAACTTACCTGTAGTGACACATTTGAGGTATTTTTAAGAAAATATACAAAACGTGGCACAATGCCTTTCTGTATCACTTCCTCTATTGGTGGATTTGGATCGCGCGATAAAAGTTTGCGAAACTTTTGCGTTGCTTCCAACTGTTCGTTTTCTTTATCGCTGTATAATTGATCAATCATATCTTTTTTAATAATGGAATTCAAGTTTATTTGATTTTGTTCTTCATGCTCATAATGCAAAAGTAGATCTTCAGAATGTTCATGAGAATTAGCAATATCCGATTCCTAATGTGACACAAGCTTGTGTATTACTAAATTTAAATCTATAAATCTATTTTATTACCTGCATAACCTCGTTATCCATGAAACCTATTCCTGGTGGATCAAGCACAACGTTACGCCGCTTTATTAATTGCTGCTCACGTTTTTGTTTCCTTAATTGAATGCCCTCCTCCTCCCGTCGGCGACGCATTTCACTTGAATCCAGACCAACATTTTTATAGCGATGTCTGTGTGTTGTAGACATGGCTATTCGAGTTTAAGAAAGAATTATCTAAAATTCTTTAAGATGTTATTTGAGTTTTTTTAGATATTTTAAATTTTCGTAATTTAAGCAAATATGACAAATTTTATTACGCACACATTGACATGCAATTTCTATAGGTATGCATAAGCAATTAAATTATATACTTTTACTTTTTGTAACATCCACGTTTACTACACATGTGTTGCAAATTAGTAATAAATATTTATTAAAATATATTTACCTTTGTAAGGAAATATTTATTGAAACAAAAAAATGTAAGTGTGACGAGTATAATTTTTGCGAGTTTTTTTCGGAACTGACAAGTATGATGAATTTTTGACACTGTCAAAATGAGTTTTAGAGTTTTCAGCTTTGTAGTAACCTTTCGTTTGAATTAAAAATAACAGCTGATCAAAAATTTTTGAAGATAAAACAAATAATAAATAAATTTAGTAATTCACTCACTTATTATAGTTTTTTATATTTTTCTATGGATACAGTTAAACATAATTTTTTTTATCTATCATTTTATTAAAAAATGTTGACAATTGTGAAAATAAAATTTATTGCACTGACCACTGATAAAACAGTCACTTGTGCAACTTCTAAAAAAAATAAATTTAATCATAAAGCTCCTGCATGGAAATATGCTCTACATCTTTCATTAAATGCTTTATATGACCGATCCTTGACTATATCTTCAACATTCAATTCCGACTGTAGTAAACGTAGCTAGAGTGATACAAATAGGAAAAAATAATTTTTTTACTTTAAGAGGTTAACAATTTGTACACACTTTTCGTTGTTCTGATTTAAACTTTTTATTGACGGTAGTATCATCTGGTTTTGCATCACGTTCTTCTCGTAATGCTTTTACTACCTCTGCAGACGTAATGATGCAATTTCTTATTGCACGCTCCCGTTCCTGGTGACCGTTTTGTAAACGAGAATATAAATCCTTACACGTTTTTTCTCCATCTAATTGACCTCTAAATGATTCTGTCGGAAGAGATGTGTTCAATGCATAAATGATTTTATCATCTATATCGCGCATTTTTTGAAGTGCTTCCTGTAGGCAAACCCTAAATTAGCCAAATTTTTGCACCACATAATATATACATTAGATATTTCGATTACCTGAAAGCCCAGGAAATCTACGCACGAATAGTTAGATACCATATCCAATATATTTACTAGCAATCTTGACTAAATTCAGAATAAAAGCTCCGCAGGTCAACGACAGTGCACGGCTACTGACATAATAGCAGGCGGCAAAATATTTTTGACTGAGTGAACATAACCTTTTAAATAAAAAAGCACAAGCTATTAAAATTAAATCAACGCCGTCAATACCTACAGTAGTGGCCAAGATATTATTTTCGTTAACAAAATTTGGTTATTTGTTTTGAAACTGTATTCGCATGTTCCTTTGTTGTAAATTGCTTTAATTTTTGTTAATTAAATAATTAAGACTAATTCAAAGACATACATCGTTTTGCTAATTCAACTTAATTCACAACTCAGGCCAAGTGCGAGTTTGAGTAAATTGAGGCAAAGTAATTTGAAATTTTATAGGAATTTTTTGCACTGTACTTAGGCCAATATTTATTTATTTATTTATTGTACTTATTTATTATTTTTGTTTAAAAGTTTTCAATTTTATTTATTTATTAAACATTTTATAAAATTTTCACAATGATATTAACTAATTTACCTAATTTTTATCTAATTTACCCTACTCGAAATTCTAGTAAATACCAACATTCGCTGCCATACCGATATAATTCACTATTTCCCTCAATTTACCAATCAATTTACTTGAACTCACACACACACGGCCTCAATAGTTGACATTCATTATATATTCTATATATTATTATTCTATTCTATTATATTACGTATTCATTATATTAAAAAAATCAACAATAAAATAAATGACATAAATAAATGTTTAACATTAAATTTCGGTGAAAAAAAGAGATGTAGTAGCAGTTGCAAATAGAGAGATGGTTGTGTTATGTATCTTTATACAATTACCACCCTATAATTTTTAGCACGCTGTTTACACAAAATCTTTTAGGATGTTTAGCAAAAAAATATCAAGAAATGAATATAAGTGCTACAAAACGTGCATAAAATCTTATCTCGTTTTATTAAAATAATTTAATATATATAATAATATATGAAAACTTATTTTATATACACAATTTAAACAAGTAGTTACGTAGCAAATTATTAATTATCTCACAAAATCTTAATTTTCAATAGTTAAATTGCAATAAATAACTTAACATTAGTCACTATAGATTAAAATGAATTTTGTATATGTATATTTTGAATAGTCAACAAAACAATATATTTATTATCATAAATTTTCTTCTTTTTTTGGTATATAATTTTTGCATATAATAAAAATTACTAATTTTTACTATATAAAATGCAATTACTAATTGCTGCACATTTATCGACTTAAATACAATAGTGTAAATGTACTCCTAGATAAACCCTAGAATAATTGTATTGCTGTTAATGGAAACTATATATGAGGTTGTTGTTTTAACATTAAGTACGTTTCTTGATTTGTGAAATTGTTTTTATTTCTTTTCTTGATTTATGCTTATTTCAGTATATATAAATATGTGAGCCAAGTTTAGTATTGGCTACTAACGTGAATGGAGTTAAGAGGCTAGCTTCGTAGTTGATTTAAATTGAGTAGAACAATACTAATTGTTGAAATTGATGATTTACTAAACAGTAAATAGTGTGAGATGATCACAACTTTTTTACATTTTTTTTTGGTTAAAGCTCATGAAAAAATTTATTGTTTGTTATAAAACTACATAATTTAGTGAAAATACCAAAATAAGAATTTGAAAATAACTTAAAGGAGTTTAAAAAATATAAGTTATAAGTTTAGAACATAAAATTAGCAGTTAGCATATATTATAAGTATAAACAAATAAAAATTAGCTTTCCCAGGATTTTTAGCAGAAAATTTTTTGATAAGAATAACAAAAACATCTTCGACTACACAATTAGAATTTTTCGTGAATAATTATTAGAAGACTTTACTTAATAGTAATATATAAAAAATAAATATCTAAAAAAATTTCGTAAACATTTGTTTTTATCGGATTGTAAATAATTATGAGTAAGTAATAGATATTTTTAACATCAGACTTGAATATTTCTTAATAGAACATAAAACACTCCTTAAAAAAGTGAACGTTATTTTTTTATACTGACCTGATAATTGGATGATAGTATAGTATAATTAATTAATATTGTTTTCAACTTTAATTATTTAAATTTTCTTGTTTTTTGGTTTTTAACCACTTGTTGATGGAGAACTTCTTTTTAACTCATAGAATATCGACAAAGCATTTTTTGATTCTAATTTTCAATCTAAGTGGAGCGCCTCCATTTTTACAATTAATGGACTTCTAGTTTTTCTAACTTGTTTGGCCTGCAAATGTTTGGTAGCTTTTTTATACTCCTTTATTTTCTTCGCATCACGATAACAAATTGTTCTTACAGTAGTTGGAGCTCAATCTAGAATTTTCCTAATGTCAGCAGGTTTTTCTTAAAGTTTAAGTATTTTAAATTATCTAACTTTTGTTCCAAGGAAATTTGTTTTCGCTTTTGACTTATTTTTATAAGCAGAAATTTGTCTTTCCACTTCACCATACAAATGTAAACTGGCACCTTTTTACTAAAAACTTAATACATGTAAATCCTCTTTTAAAAAATGTGACTTACATTATTATAATGACACCATAGATCAACGATTACCGATTGTCAGTGGACGAAACCGATCAAAATAAAGTATATTAACGCTAGATTATAATAATCTAATAGGCTTGTAGTCTATTCAGAGCAATTTAGAACACAATTTTAAGATATAGTATTTAAGTTTAACAAAATATTTTATTTAAATAACACCAGAAATGTCAGTTTATATGATTCTTACCACACCTTGAAGATGTACACAAGCAGTGCTTAATATAACTAAAAATGTCATACAGAATTCTGTTAAAGTGCGTATCACAACAACAAATACAATAATTTAAAAAACAAATTAAAACTAAATATGTTTTAAATATATATTAAAATCGTCGTTTTTAATTAGTAACGGCAGATCCACTACCAAGTGATTTCATTAATTGATAACACTCTTTTAATTTTCTCTTATCGCCCACCTTTTCAAGGGTCTTAGCTGCTTCAGCTAACATTCCCGCTCTTTCGCCGGGAGAACATAGTAATGCAGATGGCAAATATTTGCATGCAACATACATAGCAGCAGCGCGCTCCCTCTCTCCGCCATCAAAATTTTGATTTTTATCTTTTCCGCCACAAATTATAGAAGATCGGGAATGACGATAACGCAAGCTTCTGTGAAGTAATTGTTGCGTAGGGCCGGGTGAAGCACCAGCCATTAATCGACAAACTGCTTCATATAAAAATATACGTGGTTGACCATTCTAAAATAATATTAAAATGAAATAAATTTCTAGTACAATTTGGATGAACTATTAAAAACTTACTGGTATGTATTCGACAATGTTACGAAGTGAATTTAAATCATTTTGAAATTTTTCTAAAACATCACCAGGCACCTGATAGTAGCCATCATCATCCATAGTGACATATTCAATCTCCCATATTTGAGTTCGAGTCTCTAATATCCAATCACACGTGAGCAATTGGAATAACTATCAATTGTAAGAAAAATAATAAATGAGATAAATATAAATGTGTATTAACAATATTTTAATGAAAAATAAATGCTGATTGTGAAATGTACAAAGGTTGCATTGCAGTAGTATTGGCCGAATAAAATGAGCACAGACAATGCGACTACAATGCACCTTCATTACATTTCATTTTTTCATCTTGTAAAAAAAAAATTGTTTAAATAAAATAATTAAATAACTTTATATTTATTTGCAAATCATACCAGTTTAATTTCCTTGGCATTAGATATTTTGTTTATAGTTAAACACTCTTGCAAAGAGGCACTCGATTCATCACAAATTTTTGTTATTATATGTCTATCCGAAGTATTTAACTTAGTAGAAATCCTAATAAAATATTAAAATTTATTTTTTACTATAATTAAAAATGCATAGCAAAAAAGTTATTTACATTAATTGCATTTTTGCTTGTAAAATAGTATGTAGAGCTTTGGGCAAATTATCAGTGTTCTCAGATAGATTTTTAGGTAACAACTTCACACTATTGTAAAGATCTTCAGCTAATATATCTTCACCCAATAACCAATGGACTGCGACTTCAAGAACACTTGCCCACCATTCCACATTAACGTCCCTTTCATCCTCAAATATTGTATTCCGCAAGAGAGAAGTGTATTTTAAAACATTTGTTACAATGGTACCAGCTAGTTGACCATTGGTAGATGTATTAGCACTGCTAAGTTTTTCACCTTTTTCATCGTGTTTTACGCGATTAGTTGATTTATACCCTGCACCAACTAGACATTGTATCGCTTTATGCAGTAAATATTCCCGATAGTTCTTTTAATTACAAGAAGTTAATATTAATTAAAATAATTTTGTTTTAATCCACATTAAATTTACCTTAACAATGTAAGACATTGGATCGGAAGGATTATTTAATTTAGAAAAGAAACCTTCTTCTGCCTCTTGGTCAAAATTGAAGTTATGTGTAACGAAATACCGATAACCGTGCTGCGTAAAAGCCCAATTCGTGTTGCAGTTCTGATCGCGTATTTTAGCGTTTTCATGTTTTGCTTTGCTCATATAATAGCGACCAAAAAATTTTAACCACTTTGGATAACTCCTCTTTACACGTAAAGCAGATGTAATATATATATTAACCAATTCATTAGGGCTTAATACATTTCCCGCGACTTCTGCCATATTTATAGCAAACAAAGACATCATAAGTCCGTGCGAATCTTTTCTATTTGTAGTCATATGCAATTGATTCAATCGATTGAATATAAGAGCTAATTCACGTGCTGATGAAAGTGCCTCTTTACGTTGCTCGGTGCGACAAAAGAAACCTCCGGCCTTACGTGATAAAAAGCGACCAATCCAAATGCGATGGAAAAATAAACGTACAAATTGCCAAGTATTAAAAGAAAACGTTTCGAAACGTGAAGTTGGTAGGGTAATACCGAATATTTGTAAACATGTTTGATATTCTATATATGCACCCTTCGAATTTCCCTAGAATAAAAAATAAATTACAGCTGAATTATACGTTAATTATATAGTCATTCACCAACCTCATTAAAGTATTGATCAGCAATTTTTTTGTGTTTCCAGTAAGTTGTTGAAGCACTTGTATCTGTTCCTAATAAAGGATCGCCGTAAACGAGTAACTTAATCATGCATACCAGTAAAACTATCAAATTCAATATCCATATAAAAAGTGTGGACATGCTAGCTTCCCATACCGAATAACTGCTTTTATTATCTGAAACAAAAAAACATATTTCAGTTCTACGCATTAACTTTTATCTATCTACTCACAATGATCATCAATTGAAAGAACACTTCTTGTGCGTCTTATTAATACACCTTCACTATGTTCTTCAGTTCCGAACTCTGCACCCTTGTTTAAAAGGTTTTTAAATGGATTAACTGCCAAAATAGCAAACATAAACATGCATAACGCTAAACGTGAATGAGTAGCCATTCCACGAGTTGTTGTTGGAACTATTTCTACATCATCTTTAACACTCGCTCCACTACTACTAGTAGTGGAACCGCCAAATGGTGATGGAGGCAAAGAAATATCTGAATGTGGTGGTGAAAGTGAAGGATTTGATTCATCACTACGAGGCGGCGTCATAAATTCTTGCTTTGTATAAAGCATGGATTCATCAGATGAATGTTTGCGCTTTTTGCCTACAACTTCTGGTACTATTACAGATTGTAATAAATTCTTAACATTTGAACCTTCATGACGCAATAACTCATTCTGTAAGCGTTTTACTTCCATCTTTAGTTCACAATTTTGTCTATGTAAATCGCGAATCTTATCAACGGATTTTCTTAGAACTGCTGATTTGTTTAGCTTTGCGGCTTCACCAACGACCAGATTTTTTAACTCAGTAATTTTATCATTAATCGAAGTACGATAACGACGTTCTATAGCATTATGCGCTGAACGTTTGACTTCTTTAACTTTTGGTTGTACTCTGTTAATCGGCACTTTATTTTCAATATTATTCACAGGTTTGTTGACATTTGATGATGTAGCTTGCTCTAGCACAACAGGTATATGTGATGCCAAAATAGTGGTACCATTAACTAAAGTTGCAGGACTAGCAGTAGTAGTGGTATACATTAGCGTAGGGTTAGCTTGTATAAAAATTGGTTGTTGTTGTTGACTATTTGCAGAGTACTAAAAAAATCAAATTATATATATTTGTATATGTGTACATATCATAGCTTATGAGATACCTTCGAATTTTGTTGTGACGAAATGTTAGACGGTTTCGAATCAGGCATGATACTTTGTACAGTCAAGACTTGAGGCAAAGTTTGCAGCTTTTTAGTAAATGGTTGAACATTATGATCGATGGTAGAGTTTGTAATTTGTACTTGTTTATCAGGCAATTGGGAATTAGACTGAAATACGAATGTATTACTTGGATAGGCTGTCGTGAGCAAGGAAGATAGGTTATGCATGGATGACGACGTTTGTGAAAGAGGAATTGAAGTGTTGGTTGAAGTTATTTGATTCATTTGTATAGTTGGTGTTATAGAAGTTTGTAATAAATTATTGGATACATGTTGAGTTGTTTCTGGTACAGTTTTAGTTTGTTGATATTCCAAAGATGTTGAATGTTTACTTGGTTGATAAATTGTTGGTGAAACACTTATTTGATTTATTATTGTTGACACTGGTGTAAAGTTGGATCCCATTAGGGGATCTGATGAAATTAAAGGTTTGTAGATAGGAGATTGCATTTTTGGTGATACATCAGATGTTAAATGAGCAGAATGTTGTAATGTTGGACTTTCTTGTTTTACTTGCAGTAAGGGCATTTGTTCCGTTTTTAATTGTAACGCATTTGGCATACTTTCAGTTTTTATATGTTTAGTATCCAATTCCGAATTACATTCGATTAATGGGGATTCTGGACCCAGTAACAATATATCATCTGGCAATTCCATTTGATCAATATCATCAAATATATTATTAAGCATATCTAAAATAAAAATTAACTGTTAATAAAAATTTTATTGTATATTTATTATTTTCACAGTTACCCGGTGGAATCATTTCCTTTATCATTGTCAGTGCATCTTCATCCTTAAAGAGGTCTAACGAATCAACTAGGCTACTTTGTAACCCCACATCTAGTGAGGTGTCCATTTCAAATGTATTTTTTATTATGTTTCAATATGTATATCTAAAATATATATAATAATAACAAAATGTTAATAATTGTATTTTTTCTATTTAAAGCAAAGCATAAAGTATTAAACACATCAGCCAATCAAAATTCGTTATTTGATCATACGATGTGACGTCACAGTTTAGTGCAAATTAAAATACGCTTGTAAATGTAAATAATAGATTGCAATAAAAAACCAACAATATTATTAAATTTTTATGATTTCTTATATTATAATTCAAATATATATCTTTATATCATATATTTTTATCTTCAATCAATATTATTTCATATATTTATATACTAAGTTTGCCGAATATTATTTTAGCACACATTCTTAATAAAACAAAATTTTGGCATATATTTATTTTAGATATTTCTTACAAATTTTTTTAAATTTTTTCACGCATATAAAATCCATTATTTTGCACAATCAATTATTAGAAATAACGCAAAAACCATTCTAATTGCGTCAGTTGTTATTGAAGTATGTTGAATAACATTAACAAGAGATGCCAACATTGCAAAATTGCTTTCAACTTTTTTCGGAAATTTGCAATAACTCTTGTATTTTGCTTCTGTTCGTTAAATTTAAATAATTAAAGTGGCACACTAAATTTTATAATTATGAAAAGAAAACATTGTAAAATAATATGTTTAAACTGTCAATAATTTAATTGGTGTATTCCCATACTTTTGCCGATAAACAATTTAAAAAGTCGAACCGAAGATACAATACCTTAGAATGCACTTCGCTCAAACCGATGCATGAAACTTGTTTCTGTTTCGTTCATGATTTGAAATAAGCAGGCATTACATATGTATTACACATAACTATTAATTTTGGTCCCTGTTGTAACATTAATTTTGAGAGATAAAAAGTGGTATTTTATTTGCTATTACAATATAATTAAAGCAAAGGTTTATGATAAATTTATACATAGGTAATACATAAAACATGTATATTTATATATTATATGTTATACATATTCAAATCTATAAACTTTGTTATAAATTTTTTAAATAAAATTAATATGACATATGACATATTAGAATTGTTCCACGAGCTACTCGTAATAACTTTAAGTAACTCTGTGTAGATACAAATGCGTTCCAGCAAATTTTCAAGTAAATAAGAAATTTTTTTTTTGAAAATTCTACAAATACTTCACTCTTACATTATATATCAAGTAAAATTTGTGTTGGTGTGTGAACCAGCTGTTTTGGTTTGAATTTAAATTTTTGTATTGTTTATTTGCGCGGTACTGGTGTTCTCACCAGAGCTGTTCCATAAAAATCTGTGTAAAGAGCATAACTTGGCACTTTATTTATGTTAATTTTTCAGTTTGAACTTTACTTGTGTTTTATTTGAATTTTACTACGAATAACTCGTGCAACAGACCTATTGTATGTTGATACGCTATATTTTTATTTACAATTTATTGTTATCTTACTGTTTTATATTTAAAACTTACACCCATGATTGACATATTGGAAAATTTGAATAAAGCATACAAAGAACATGAACTTATATAAATAAGACCGCTATAACCTCACATACTTTTGTGTGGATTTTGGGGGGATTTTGATTAACTGAAAAATGAAATAAGTTCAATAATGTAAAATATCATAAAATTAAATAAAGTGTGAACAAGCTAATAATTTTACTGTGAAAAAGTGTATAAAATATTTTTATTATCAATACTTTTTAAATAATATGTTTAACTTTATTTGTCATGTTGAAAATATATTTATAAAACTATGTTATATATTTTATGGTCACATTAAATTGAGATAAAAAATATTTCCTTCAGAGTAAATCATAAAAGAATTATATAAAGCAGTTTTTGCGCGTAAAACTATTGAAATAAATTGTAATTACTGTAATGACTGGAATATAATGACTAATTTTAAAGTTTTAATAAAAGGTTTATGTATAAAATGTGTATGCGGCGATAAGAAAACTATTGATTTTTTGAATACTCATGCTATTTGCTACTTGTTTGAGCACTTATATGTACAGATTTAAAAAATTTCATCTCTTTTTACGATTTTCTAAGATATCGAATTTTAAAATGAATATATTTGTGTTAAACAAATTAATTATTTCAAATAAAAACTGTTTCTAACAAATAGAACCTGTTCAATTGAAAACTGCAATAAAATTTTAAAATTTGTTCTTGTATTGTTTCCGAACATTCGATTTCGATTAAATAGATTTTCGATAAATTTGGCTTGTATAATTTTTACCGGAAGTTTAGCCATTTTGACAAAGATTTGGAACAGACAACAACACGCATTGCAGAGCAGCAGAAAGGATTTCGGGAGTGATTTTTCCACCTTTTTTCACTCAAATAATAACAGCAGAGTAGTTGAAAGAGTCGAAAAACATCAATTGAAACATAAAAAGGAGCAGTCACCTTAAATAACATCAAGAACGGATTAAAACTATATCAAGAAAAAACCTCAAAGCTCTGATATGGCAGACTCAGATAAGCAGCTACCAGCCGAGCAACAACATCCTCAAGATTCCACTCAAGGCGATACTGTTCAGCCACAACAAAAACAATTGCCGCCTCCAAAGGAAATAATTGGTAAGAAAACCGTGAAAAATGTGTTAAAGTAGCGCAAAATTGTGAAAAAGTGTTTTTCGTGAAAAAATTTACCCTCCCTTGTTAAATTGAAAGTGTGCTGAAAATAGAAAAATTTTCCTAAAATAAAAGAGCGACGCCATTTTGAAAATGTGGTCGGTCGGTCACCGGCTATAAAGTTTTTCATAGATATTTACACCGGCAATTCAAATTTAATGAATTTATGGAACAACATAAAAGAGAAAAAGAAAAGTTTATAGTTTTTTTCTTTCTTTCACTTTATACATTTATATGTATGTATCTGGCGCAAATATTTCTGCGCAGTGCCAGTAGCGGTTAACAGAATTACAGAATTTTGCACTACCAATTTTTCAATTTTTCCAACGCTAAATAAATATAACTAATTTCATATAATTTAATTATATTTGAACTGCATAATAAATGTTTTTTTTTTTAATATAACAATTTTCTCTTAAAGCAACCAAGGTAACTGGCACAGTGAAATGGTTCAATGTAAAGAGTGGATATGGTTTCATTAATAGAAATGACACCAAAGAGGATGTTTTTGTACATCAAAGCGCTATTATCAAAAACAATCCCAAGAAGGCAGTGCGTTCCGTTGGTGATGGTGAAGTGGTAGAATTCGATGTTGTTATTGGCGAAAAAGGCAATGAAGCTGCTAATGTAACTGGACCTTCTGGAGAACCAGTACGTGGTAGTCAATTTGCTGCTGATAAACGTCGGAATTATCGCCCTTGGCTCAGGAGAAATCGTCGCAAGCAACCAGCTGCAGGTAACCAAGGCCAAGAGCATGGTGGTCAAGCAGTAGGAGATCAAAATGACATTAACGACGGTCAACAGCAAGCTCCAAGACAGCAACGTAATTTTAGGCGTGGAAGTCGTGGACGAGGTAGGCGTTTTAATAACTATTATCCACGAAACCAACAAAGACGTTCGGGAGGTGGTGATGGTATTAGTATTGGTGATGGACACGAGCAGAATCCTGATCAAGTACAACTTGCTCGTCGCGGCGGTCCACAAAGACGTTTCTTCCGGCGCAATACCAACAATCGCGGCCGTCGTGGTGGTCCACGTAGTGATGATGGTGAGTAGAGATTGTTCTACGAATGGAACTCTATTAAGATGTGTTTGATTTACGTTATAAATACAATAAAATATTAATACTCTATACATAAAATTAAACACATTTGTTTTTCTATGCTCATAATCGTTTTATAGCAATCATTGTACATATTTATACAATTTGATTTGATTTGATTTCATTTGTGGAGTAAAAAGGATTACTAAATTTTTTAAAATGACAAAATGGGAAATTATCATGACTTGCTTTTGTTAACTATTTTCGTTAAATTATGGTGCATGAAAAAAAATATACTATACACAATATTATTTGGTAAAAATGAGCATAAAGTTCATATAATATTGAACTAAAATAACGAAGTGGTGTTAATATATTTTAAAATGTATGTGTATTTCTACTAGGAAATGGCGAACAAGGTCCTCCACGCAACACTCGTCCACGTCGTAACAGGAAACCAAATAATGGTGGGGGACCAGCTGGCAACGAACAAGAGGTAATATAAAGAGAGAGATCCGCAAAATACATCATCTTTAAACTATAACTCTAAAATTAACTACTATTAACATCAAAATATTATACCAATTAAAGCTCCAATTTAACGTAGAACAAATTTTATGTTTAAAGAACAAATGACTAACCCAATAATTTGTAATTCTTTATTTATTTCTATCCTATTATTTTATTTTACTTTAATTTATTTATATTTTTATTTCCTATGCCTATGTTTTTATACATCGACTCCAATCCACATTTTATCCATCAATAAATCCCATAAATACAACTGCTACAATAAATAGAACGTTGGCCAGGAAGTTCGGAACACCACAACTGAGAGTTCTGCATAAGCAGATCGGTACAACAAAGCAGCTAGGCAGCAAATTTTAATAAATAAAACTTATTTAAATTAATTCAACATAACGGAAAAAACCTCTTAATACATTGCAGAAAATACTATATAAAATATGTAATTACAAAGAGGAAAATATCTTAGAACATATACAGAAGAAAAATAATGTGGTGAATAAAATTAAATTTTATATCCTTTTATAATTTCTTTAGTTCATAAAGAACGCTTCCTCAGAAATGAATATATGTATTTTTTAAGTTTGTAGTGCATTGAGTTGTTTCGTTTTATTTAAATCCTGTCAATATTGTCATTTAACCTAGAATATAATTTTTCCTTAAAGAAATAATTTTAATTGAACTTTTTGAAAGAACAAAAATGCTGCAAAATTCACCAAACTAAAATCATTTAACTTTAAGCAGAAAAATACCGTGCAAATAGTTTACTGAAGTTATTTCTGTAAATTAATTTGTACTTGTTTGTTTTATTATACATAAACTTACAACTTATACATTTATACAATTCATATTAAAAACAAATATCTGTACAACTGAAGCAAATAATTTATTGGAAAAAATAAAAAAATTGTAAAACCCACAAAAAGTTTGTTTTTTTTAATTATATATATTTCTTAATATTAGAAATTAGCGGTAAATGCATTTTAAATAGTAAAGTAATTTAAGAGATTCCTTAACTAATTTTATCCTACATTATTTATAATAAATATACATAAGATTTGCACGCCTTAATAGATAATCTTACAAAACAATGGAAAATGTAATAATATTAATAATGTTTATGTATTATTCGTGATAATAGAATAACAGATAAAAATGCCTATATGATAAAGAAGTCTGAGCAGTTAATTGAAAATAGTTTTGATTTTTCCGAGGTACTGCAATTCCAGATTTTTGTAGTGTATAACAAAAATTAATTTCATTCATTTTAGAATAGTTCTCAGCTACGTAACGCAATAACATCTTCCGTAACACGTGTTATTAATGCATCTAACTCATTATTTTTCAATTTTGAACCCCATAGATTTTCAAGAGTGTTCCTTGCACTTTGCACAGCGTGCCCTTTTTTTAAAAAAAAAGGTTTTAGTATTTAGAGTAACATACAGAACGTTCCTCTTACCTTCTAAATCAGGAACAGCAAGTTTTAAAATGATAATAACTTCATTAGCAATTGGACTAATAGTATCGCATATAGTGTGGAGCGCTCGTGCAGCACCGGCTGGAATCTTCAAAAAATTTAAATAAGTTGTTGATATTATATGCAGTATAACTCACTTCATTAAGATTTGCAATAAGAATAACTTTCCCTTCTTTTATTTTACTTTTGTACTTTTCAATTGCGTATCCATAGTCGAACTCCGCTTCTTGTGAGGTAAAATCTTTACTTTCTATTTCCACTGGCTTCATATCATCTCCTTTTTAACAAACAACAATTTAAATATATAATAAATAAAGAAAAATTTATATAAAAATTACCAAAACAAAAAGAGAAACGTTTAGCAATTTCTGTGATTATTTCTTCAATGCCTTGGACTTTATGTACGAATAAATATACGGCTGGACTTTCAACTCGTTTATTTAGTATATTTTCGATACCAACTTCAAGTCTTCGCCAAATCTTTTCTTGCTGAGTTGGATACTTTTGACGAAGCTCATTAAAGGAACAACTTTTATTTGTTGGTTGCTGTGCTTTTAATATTACAAAAAAGTACATCGATAAACCTATTACAGCAATTACAACAATCAAGCTCTTTGTATAGCGACCAAAATGTGATTCTGAGGATTTTTTGTCATAACATTCAGTATGTTTTATATAGTTAGATCGCTCATTTAGAGAACCATGTAATTTTTTTCGCGATGTTTCAAACGTATTAGATATATTTTGTGTGGACTCAAAGTTGTCTGAATATTCTGTGTCAACCGATCTTGTTTCATCGTCAGAATCATCTTCACTGGAGCATGTATCAGGTAAAGCAGTTTTATCTAACTTTGGACTTTCCGGTTCACTATGCACATTTCTTCTACCTCTTATTGGCATATCCTTGAAATTAGGCGACATCAGCATATTTTTAAAAAATTCAACAAACTCAGTTTATTTAGAAAACAATGAAGCACATTAAAGAATATTTAAAGGAAAGAAACAAAGTTGATCTAAAAATTGTGTAAAAATGTTTTGGATTATCCAATAAATATTAAAATTTTTGTGTAATGTGGATAAAATAATACTCATGATAAAACTCTTCATTATGAGAAGTTTACTGCCGGTAAATCACTGCCAGCCCTAAAAAAAAATATATATTTATTTATTATAATATATAGTACAAAATTGGAGTGCAGTAAAACCAAAGAAAAACTATTGTATGTTGGATAATAATGAATACTATTCTTTAACCGTATATATCTTATAAACTTATAAATTGCATTATTAAGGTGCATCCACACCAAAGCGAACGAACTTTTGGTGTGGATGCACCTTTACATGTGTACATTAGTAGTATTGAGACTGAAATTGATTATAGTAGATATGTTCCCGTATTTTTTAAGTAAAGTCAAAAATCAAAATTTCTATTCCTAATGTTCTGTTAAAGTTAAAAATCAAAATTCCTATTCCTATTGTTCTGTTAAAATTAAAAATCAAAATTTCTATTCCTTTTATTCTGTTAAAGTTAAAAACCAAATTTTCTATTCCTATTGTTCTGTTCAAATTAAGACACAACGATTTTTATATTATTAGCCGTAATTTTTTCTTTCAGTGTAGCAAAAAAATACTCGCAACTTATGAAACAAAATATTTTAAGCAACAACAATGTTTTGAAAATCTTCAGAGTTACGTTTACGTTACAAGTTTTAGTGCCACCAAATTCAAAGATCAGTCTATTGTAAATGCTCACTGGAAATATGTTGCAAAATTTCAGTCATCCGCTAAAATCATATGAGCATTTCATTTTCCAATAAGTTCTAATATACAAATAAATTAATTTAAATATACAAGATAAAAATGCTTACCATTGTCCTTTTTATTTTCATTTTGTTTTCTTTTATTTACAATATTAGTCTTTAGTGTGCAATTTTTATATTTTATAGGGCCGATTTACACTACATTTACACATGAACATGAAAACCGGTTACTAATAGATTAGAGAGGGAAGAGAGTGTGATCTGAGTTTATAAATTTCGCGCAATGAAATATGCTGCAATTCTTTAGCTTGACACGTGCAATGCACTATTACACACAAGCATTTTATACGTTAACACAAAACAAAACAAATTTCACGCTCATGACAGTTCACGATAGTGTAAACTGAACTGACAGTTCATGTCGTCGTCAAGTTCATCTCACGTTCATGATAGTGTAAATAGGGCCAGTAAGTTTAAAAACCAAAACTAATTTTTATTTAGTTTCTACAGTTTTGAATAAAATAAAAATGTTCTGCTTACAAAGTCCCAGGTACTTTACAACAACCTTGCATTCTTGTTTAAATTTTTTTTTTGACATAAGCTTTCCAAACTTTTTTATCTCATTTATTCAATCATTTTATTTAAATTAAATACTTAATACTACATATTAATTTAATTAAAGTAAACTTAACTTTTAAGTTTAACAGCTCTTATTATTATTATCTTATTAAAAACTGTTTTGGTGAATGTATAAATATTTTTGTATGATGATTTTTTGTTTTTTGAAATAAACGGACTTAAACAATAATTATTGCACCAAAAAATGAAAACTTTCCTGGAAAACCAATTCAAAATAAAATGATTATTAAAATTATATGTTGCAAAAATAAGATTAAGTACGCTGACAATATTCTTTAGTAATTTTGAAAAAAAAAAAGAAATATACGTTTTTAGTGTCTTACACTGAACATACTTTGCAGTTTAGTCGCTGCCTGTAAAAAGGTTTCTCTATTCTTATAAGCATTTCTGAAAGAAAAATATACATATTGTTCTGGAAAAAGTTAATTCAACGCACAACGATTGTATTGCATTTTACAGAAAAGCATTTATGCCGATTTTTTGGCTAAAATAGTTATATATTAATTTTTAAAGTGCAAATAATTGAAAATCATTATAATACTTACGTCTCAAAGGAAAACAATTTAGTCAGCCATGCAAGCAATCAAATGTGTTGTTGTGGGTGATGGAGCTGTTGGTAAAACATGTCTCTTGATAAGCTACACCACAAATGCGTTTCCTGGAGAATATATACCTACTGTTTTTGACAACTATTCAGCAAATGTTATGGTCGATGCAAAGCCAATTAATTTAGGCCTTTGGGATACAGCCGGTCAAGAGGACTACGATCGTCTTCGTCCACTTTCCTATCCACAGACAGACGTCTTCCTTATCTGTTTTTCATTGGTTAATCCGGCCTCTTTTGAAAATGTACGAGCAAAATGGTATCCTGAAGTACGCCATCACTGCCCTAGCACACCAATAATTTTGGTTGGTACTAAGCTTGACTTGCGTGATGATAAGAATACCATTGAAAAATTACGTGATAAAAAATTAGCTCCTATTACTTATCCGCAAGGACTTGCCATGGCTAAAGAAATCGGGGCTGTTAAATATTTGGAATGTTCAGCTTTAACACAAAAAGGTCTTAAAACTGTTTTTGATGAAGCAATACGCTCCGTACTGTGCCCCGTACTACAGCCAAAATCAAAACGTAAGTGTACGCTGCTATAATTATTTCATTCAACTAGTGGAGCCTGTACCGAAAACTAAATTGGCAAAAATAAAACAAAGGCTATACTATATATAACCAGTTAATCTACGCTAAATCAAAACATTTCAATTTACATAAAATTAAATCGAATTTTTTGTATATTTTCACTGACAATTTGTATACATCAACTAAAGTAGTCACTGCATTCTATTTAGTGAGTAAATGTGTGCATTTCAAAAAGTATCATATGTCGTCAAAATCTGATTAAATAAAAAGTATAAATTATATACAAAGTTAATTATAATTATAGAGGAACAGATTTATCCAAGTTTACCAAAAATAAACTGGAATTTCTTACATTCAAATCAAATTATTTTGGGTATGACTAATCAAGTTTTTGCTTCCTAAAGCTTTTGTTTGGGTTAACTCCGTTCAACGAGCAAATTTTAGAAGGGGTTGTTTGTAACAGAAATATAAACTTATATATTTTTTGTGACTAATTTAGTATTATGCTTTATTTGAATAATGCTGTTTTTAGTTAACTTATTAAACATATGTTTTATTGTTTCGTAATATATTTTGTTAGTTTTCCATGTGCATTAATTTAAACTTAAAGTTATTTGCTTTAATAAAAGAAAAATTAATAAAACTACTCTTTTATATTTAATGTTGTAAAATTTTAAATACCAAAAAGTAGTAAAAAAATACAAATATAATGTAGTAATTATAAAAACATGTTAACTTTATTTGAACTGAAACCATTTTTTCACAATTTAATATATAAAACCTTTAATGTATTGTATGTGTAAGGATTTATGAAGAAACCTTCATGTACTTGGAGTACTGATATTAATTTAAAATAATTTTACATACATGTACGTACGTAATTATAAATAAAAATTAAATTATATAAATGTGTGTCACTAAATTGAAAAATAAAGAAAATTGCATAAATAGTATTTATCTATGTTTTCATTATATGATTAGTTATTACTTTATTCTTTTTATACAGTGCTTTTGCAAATTTCTTATAACTGCTACACAGTCTTCATGATTCATTACATAGTTATTAGTGAAGATTACAGGTAAAGCGGCAAACGGGAAAGGTGACGATCGTACCATGGCTACCATTCACTGAAGGCCGAATTTAGAGCCGTTTGTGTCAAACACAAACAAGATATTTCGAAAAAAATTCAATTAATAATTTGATCTATTTTTAGCATATAGTTTATATTTTAAATAAATAATTATTGTATAAGTCAGGATGCATGTATTAAAATTCACATTGGCATTATGCTACTTGTGTTAATTCATCTTCATCTTACAATAATTTATAATATATTTTTAATATTAATTAACCTGTTACAGTGTTTATATGCTGACTATTTAGTTACCTTTGAATATTTCATACGCTTACACTCTATTGATGTATTTTTTCGAATGTACTAATTAATAACGTGGAAGAGCGGATGTCTCTTCGTTACTTAATTATCTTCACTCTTTGTTACACATTTGTTAGCTAATATAAAAATTCCAATTAAAATCAATCTCTTGAGGATATATATATATATGAGGAAGTTGACATACAATAGTTATATGTAGTATTATTAGAATTTTTCTTCCTATTAGCAATATTCTTATTAGGCTGCTTTTAATAATTTAAAACTATTGTATTACCTGTGGAGTTTTATTTGAAACCTGAGCGCTTGAATATTTTTACTCTTATTGCTATAGTGATCAGCAATTTTGATTTTAATGAAACAGCGCTGCTTTTTAATATATTGGCCCATGTCCCGCAGTTTTAAGAAATTGTTCCGATGTTTAGGTTTTAATTTACTTGTTATTTATAATAACTTAAATGATATGTTCATTAAAATAACGCTTTTAAAAATGTGTGTACTTTTTGAAGGTTTTTAGATATTGTTTATATCAAAAAGAGTGAGAAACATTTTGCTTATTTAATTAAAATTAATGATTATATTCATAGAAGCAATTTAGGTCTTAACTTTAAATCTAAACTATTTTTCTCAAAAGTTAATAGGATTCTGGTGAGTTTTCCTATTGTAGTTCGGTTTTGGGGAACTAGATTTAAAATACACACTTTCTAAATGATATTCAATTTTAACTGTTTTAAATTATACCTCGGCTGGCTATTAGTTTTTCTTTTTAATTTAAGTTTTTGAACAGGGAAATTTCGTTGAAATTATTTTTTTACTTACCTAACTTATATTTCTTATTTAGTTTTTGAAAAAAGATTTCCTGAAATTAAACGACGTTTTTTAACTCCTTTGCTATTTAATAATACATTCACTAAAATATTAGTTATATGTATAAGTAGCGGTTCACAGTGATTAAAATAATTATAGTAGAATAAATGTGTGAGTATTCGATAGCTGTATCGTATGAGTTCAAGATTATAAATAAATATGCGTACAATCTTTAGGGAGATATTAAGATGGAAGTTGCAACATATTTTGCAGAGATATCAGTTCACTAACGCCTCAAGGATTGAGCCCTTTGTGATGTAGAAATGATGGAAGAATGTTGCAAATAAAAACTAATATTTTTGCAGTAAACCTGATTTAAATTTAAGATCTTAGAATCTATATTAAAACTTTACTGATTTAAAAATTTATATGAATTTTTCAAATGAAATTTAAATAAGACCATTCGAGATTATATACTCTTAAAATGTTAAAGAAACTGATGAAAACTATTACAGGGACTGTGTTCTAATAAGAGTAATTTAGAATAGGGGATAATTGTGCTATGCTCTATTTTATAATTAAATTTCATATAGTTAACTAGATAAAATTAAATCTATAATATATTATTAAGAGATATTGTCTACTGATATTTCGATATTTGTTTTCGCATTTTAAAAATGTTTTATCATTTTTATTTATTTTGTTCTGGAATGCATAGCACAACTACAAATTTATTATCCACATGGCTGCAATTTAAAAAACTATCTGCAGAATATTCTACATATGTACATATGTATATATATATATATGATATGTATATATCAGACATATGGTTAAGACTCGATATGCATTAATAAAAGAAAAACAATGAGAATAGTTGTCCGACAAATTCAACAAATTAAATGTAAACACATCATCGTTTAATTTGTACTGATAGATGTGTATTTGTACGGGTGTCCATGGTACGTGATTTTTTTTTGTATACAACTTTAGTTTTTTGTATACATATGGTCCAAATTAAAAAGCATGAAATTTCAACTCTTGCTTATCTCAGCATTCCGTGCAATATAAATTAGTCACATCAGCAAAAGAATAAAGTAGAGTATTCTAAAGTGCTGGTTCATTTTACAAATTATCAGCATGGAAAATGAAAGAACTGATAACCTTTTCTATATATAATTCCTGTAATATACTATAACTTAAAAATTTTGTCAGAAAAAAATTAAAAACCATTTAAATTATGTGTTTGAACTTTTTATGTATATATTTAAAAAACAAACATATATATTTTTACCAACAGGCGTTTTCTTCTTAGTCTTAAAATGTTATACATTTCATTTAGAAGAATGTTAAGCAACATACATTTATAAAAACTATTAAAACAATCTAGATATATATTAAAATTAGTTTGGCATTTTAAGTTTTATGACAAATAATTATCAAAAAGAATATACTCAACATTTAGAATATAATAATTTGTTACAATAGGCAAGAAAAAATTAATGTTTATAAAAAAAACATTTATAAGTAGCACCTTAAATTATTACATAAAAAATCAGTATTAAATATTTAAAATCTATTAGAGACTACATATATTCGAGATTAATATTAATTTTAGACTTCTTTGACTTTAAAATTCGTCGTGACGAGCTAACGCTTCTCCAAAGTCGGTCGCTTGTGAGCCAACGAAAATATCATATTTATCAAGTATTTCATCTTTTGTTAATTTTTCATCACCGTCTTGATCAGCTTCAAATATCAAATGTTTTGATTCACTTTCAGCATGATCAAAGTCCTTGGGCACTACCCATGCACGTACCTCTTCTCGATTAAGAAAGCCATCACCATCTAAATCACGAAATTTTGAAAAGCTTTCACGTTCACTAACAACCCATTCTGGTTCGACTTCACTAGGTTCTGAAGCACGGTAAAGATCACCAATGTATTCATCTACTGACACTTTCCCATCTTTATTTTTGTCAATATCCTCCAAAGTTTCCATTAATACAATGTCTTGCATAGTTTTATGTTCTTCGGGATGAAGAAAAGCGGTGAATTCTTCCTTTGTAAGAGCATCATCTAAATTTTGATCGGCAACACCCCACCGCCGACGATCTTTTTTAAGCATACCCTGATATGATATACCATTTTCTTCATGTTCTAATTCTTCCTTAGTCATTCCTTCCATGAACCCATAAACATTTTTACGATAAGACTCCCAATCAATTGTATCATTATTGTTTGGATTATGTTGTTTCCAAATACGAGCAACGTCTTCATCAATATACCGTCGCTTTGTATATTCAATCCATCTTTTTAATTCAGATAAATCTACAAGTCCATCCTTATTATCGTCAATACGATCTACAATAACACCCAATCTTCTTTTACTTTCTTCTGGAGGTAATTGGTCGAATTCTTTGGCTTCATCTTCACCCAAAAAAGCTTCGTGATCATATTGTGTGTTATGGGTATCTCCGTCGAAATGTTTAACATTGGCGGAATCATGTTCATGTGGATGTTGTTTTAATTCATCTGGTTTAGGAACAGCGTTAACATATATTATAGCACATAAAAGAAGTAACAAGCAATTTAGTCGTAACATTATGCGTTTCTATTTGATGTGCAAAAGTTTATTTTAGAATATGTGCAATTTAAGTGTGCAAATTAATTTATACCTGCTTTTTATTTAGTTTCAATTTGATTGGACCAAAAAGAATACGTGTACCTCCTCCGCAAGAACGTTCTCATTAAATTAAATTTATTTATATGAACCGCATCAAAAACTATATATATAGAACTGCCAACATAAAAATTTCAAATTTTTTATAAAATTAAATTAAACACACCCAAGCATAGGATGAAAAATCTATGACATATGTAAGCGTCAAGTAATTGACATTTTCAGATAAATGGTTTAATCTGAAATGTCGTGTCTTAGTATTATATACTATATGTATTTTATAACTTAACGATTATCAGTCACTGTTTTGCAAATATTTTAATATAAAAAATTTCATTGTAAAAATAACATGAATTTTTGCAAAGAAAGTTTATAAAAAAATACTTACATATAACAGAATTTTATTATGAAAGTTAATTTAAAGTGAACTTTAAATGCAATATAATATAGTTATACATTGTGTTTTATTAATATGTTAGTCGTTTTAAAAAACTTCAACTATAAACAAAATATAATATTATCTGCGTTTACAATGGCTAGACTTTGGCAAGATTTCTGCTTAAATTCCCATTTATTTATATATGTAAATTTTTTATATTCAAATATGCATTACTTTTAAATTTTGTCTGATTTGTATGTTAGCTTGTATGTTTCATAAAAACTACTTGTGTACAAAGTAAATATAGTGTTGCGTCTACGACATCAAGGATATCCGATCACATTAAGTGTGATCTATAAGTCCATAAGTTATTTACAATATTGAACTACTATTAAGTTTTTGTTTGTGAAATTATTATTACAATATAATTATAATTAAAAACAAATACATATATGGATATTGTAATGTCTCAGATTTTTCACAATTGAGTGCGTGTGATTACTCTACCCATTTATGAAAGTTGTTCATTTGCTCGGCATTTGGAAATAGATTTTATTAGTTGACTGTTTCACTTTTTCCAATATACACTTGTTCTTTAGATATAGGTCTTCAAATTTGCAAATTTATTTATAAATGACTATAACTATTCAAGCAACGTAATGTCGCTCTCGTTCCACCATTTGATTAAACAAAATATTTTGTTTGAAAATTATTTGTTCGTGCGGAATCAAAGAAATAGAAAATGAGAAATTTAGAAATTAGAAATAATGCAAAAAATAGTGCAAAAAATTATCAATTTGTATTCATATATTTTAATGCATAAAAAATCGTGCACAGCCTGCTTAAAATGCAACCCTGGGTTTGTTCATAAGTTTTCACTTCAAAGCTAAAATTTCTAAAATCACTTTGCTACAGTTTTCAAAACGCTATCCTGTTGCAATCTTTTTTGATTTATTTCAGTGTTCTATTGTTTTTATTTTTATTATAATTTACTTAAATTCAAATAATTAATAAAGTTAAATAATTTTATAGCTTAATAGTATAATATTTAAAAAAATACATGTTATAAAGATCAAATTCTGATGCAAACAGACACAATGATAGACATAACAAATGGTTCTTTTAATCTGCCAATACCGGATATAAGAGAAGATGTGTTGTTTCAGCATTCACATAAACAGGTATGCAATCAAATATCATAATTGTTTTATTTATTTGTAAAAATTAACAAGTAAAATTTTGAAATCCTTAGGCTCGACGTGATGATACCAATCGGTTACGCCCACCAAAACTAAATAAACGATATTATCACGACAACAACTTTAATCGAAGTCATTCCAGTAGTCCTGCAGCTGCATTTGCAATTTCATTTCGTGGAAGTGCAGATAATATATCAGAGGCTGAGACAGTTCCACTCAATTCCTCAATGGATGCCTCAAAAAATCAAACATATTTTGAACAATCTTTTACATGTATATCAAAGATTGGCGAAGGCTCATTTGGGGAAGTGTTTAAGGTAAAATCCAAAGAAGATGGGTGCATGTATGCTGTGAAAATGTCGAAACAAATGTTTCGTAGTGAGACATATAGGCAAGAACGGTTAGAAGAGGTTCGGCGGTATGAACAGTTTTCAGGGCATGCAAACTGTTTACGTTTTTATCGAGCATGGGAACAATGTGATCGTCTTTATATGCAAATGGAACTTTGTCAAGAAAGTTTAGAGCACTATTTAGAAAGAAAGAAAGAAATACCAGAAGAAAAGATTTGGTCAATATTATTGGACTTGCTTCTTGCACTAAAAAGCTTGCATGATCGAAATCTAATTCATTTAGATATAAAACTGGATAATGTGCTTATTGGTGATGATGATAGCTGCAAGCTTGCTGACTTTGGTTTAGTTATAGATGTTGATAAAGTATGTTTAATTTAAAAATGAAATATTTTTAATACTAACGCATATTTATTGAAGGCAAATCGTCATGAAGCAACTGAAGGAGACTCTAGGTACATGGCACCAGAAATAATGCAGGGTGTCTTTTCGAAAGCAGCAGATATATTTAGTTTAGGGGTTACAATGTTGGAGTTATCTTGCAATTTAGAATTACCTTCAAATGGGCAACTTTGGCAGCAACTACGAAAAGGCTTATTACCTGAAAGTTTTATAAAAGGTAAGAAATTAATTTCAAACAGAGTATATTGCTAAAGGGAATATTTTTTTTTCAGATATATCTTTAGATTTGCAACAAATTATAAAACAAATGATGACACCAGATCACGAAACAAGGCCAACAGTAGATGCGTTGCTTACACATGAAAAACTAAGACGTCTTAAAGTTCAAAGAGATCGTTGGGAGTTTCTTAGGCAATCTGTATGTTAAAAATTCTTATATTTTTTATTATTTAGATTTGATTTTTCTATATTCTTTTACAGAAGCAAAGCATTCGGAAGTACAGCCATACTATATTATCTAAACTGTGCAATTTAAAAACTTTATTTGTTCGATTTTTCATGTGTATTTTTAGTGGAATTAATAATTCAATGAATGATCAGAATGCAAGACATACAGAAAAGGAAGTTGAGGAACATCATAATATACCAATAATATGTACTCATGTAACTTCATCAACGCCAACGGTTAGCAAAATACCAACACCTGGGTTTTTATGTGATGATAACTCCATGGATTTTTGTCAAAGTTATACACCATCACATTTTGCAAATGGTAAAGTTATAAACTCAACACCAGTGAATCTAAATTGTAGTGCTCTTCGACCGCGTAAGGAATTAGAGAAAACTGTATTTAGGTGAGTTTTTATTTAAATAAATAAATCATGTATATATTTTTTTAATAACCAACTGTACAAGTTCTTAGTTGAAAAGACTCAGATAACAAAATTACTTAGATTTCGTATATGCTTACAAAGTTTAATTTGACAGTTTAAATATTTTCTTAAAAAAATGATTTCTTAAATATAATTGCTTATAAATTCTTATAGGTATTTAAAGGTGTGATTAATATAAAAACAAGATATTTGTAATGATTTTAAAAAAGGTAAATTATTTTTCACAATTTTAAGAAATCATTTTTTTATAAAAGAGATCCTAAATTGTCTTCATAAATGTGTTTTTGGTATTTCTTACTCATCTGTTTTTAATTTTTAATAAAAGTAGATTATAACCTGTTATTATAATTCGCTCATCGTCTATTTTACTACTAACTTTCTAACTTTATTAAATATATTTTTTATTACATTGAAAAGTGTTAATTTTTTAATTATATTAATAAGTATAATAAAATATAATATATAACAATATAATATATATAATAAAATCAATTCTTAATTAAATAGATGGTTTTGATTTTAATAGTGTTTTTCGTATTTCTTACTAATCTATTTTAGTTCTTAATAATTATGAATTATTCCTTATTCTAATTTTTACTCTACTTATTCTACCTGCGCACTAATTATTTTATTTACTTTGGCTTTTAACTTGGTTAAATTTCACTTTTTTATTTATATCGAAAACACTTGATGTTTTTGTAAATATATTGACGTATGTACAATAGAATCAATTCTTAAATAAATATGTAGTTTTGTTTGTTCTTCATTTAGAATTGTTTTTCATATTTTTTAGTTCTTAATAATAATGAACTATTCTTTATTATTATAATTCTTACTCTACTTATTTTTTTGCGCACTAATTATTTTTACTACTTTACTTTTTAATTTTGTCAAATATATTTTTTATTATATTGAAAATGTTTTTGCCAATATTTCGATGTATATATAATATAATTAGGTGCTTATTACATACATGGTTTGGTTTTGATAAAATTGTTTTTCATACTTCTTACTAATCTAATTTAGTTCTTCATAATAATAAATTATGTGCCTTTGTTATAATTCTTCATCTACATTCTCTTTCTGTACATAATCTTTTACATTTATACTTGCTAACTTTGTTAAATTTGCTCTTTGTTATATTGAAAATCCTCCATTTTTTTCAAATATGTTTTTTGTAACCATAAATGTTGCTAATATTTTCTACATTTCTGAGAAATAAGTTTTTTATAAAATATAACCTTAACTTTCCTCTTTTTGTTTTTCTTATTAATTTCTTTGAATTTTCAAAAAAGTAAATTATTGCCTATTATTATTATTATTCCCTAAATCCTCTACTCAATGTACGTTGAAAATTTTCATCACTATACATACTAACTTAGTTAAATATATTTTTTATAATATTGAAATCATTTTTTTTTTGTAGTAAAATTTGTTATAGTTTATTTATATACATATAGTAATTAATTGCTTGACTGTTAGTACGAAGCTGAATTTAATCTGTACTCAGTTTAAAAATGCAAATTTTGTGTATTTAAATTACTTAACATCTTGTTTAATTTGTTTAAAACTGCAACTCACACAAATTCTTATCTATAGAAATGAATATAGATACAATATATATCAAAAAAATTATTTTTTAATTACAGAACGTTGCAATTTAAAGAACCATTACCAGAAGATCAATCAAATAAGTTATCAAGTTTAGACGATATCGAGACACGTTGTTTATCCCTTGTACGACAGCGTTTAGAATTATCGTCTTTACGGGGAAAACTTTTCTCAGAAGATGAATCAGATTAAATAGTTTGAAATGGGCATTGCATTAATTAATTAATTTTATTTTTTCAAATAAGTGTAAATGATTTATTTTTATTTCTTCTTAAACTGCATTGAGTTCAACTTCTAAGTTTCTAAAACGTAATTTTCCTTCTTTATATTAGAAATTCAATAAATTAAATTATGATACACTAGTGGTTTATCATAAATATATTTACGATATCCATTTAATGTAGAGACTATGAAAACATTAATTGCATTTTTTAAAAATAATTGTATATTAAATTTTTATTATTTTTATAAGAATATATTATCAAAAATTTGTGATATGTTAATATAATGCAAAATGCATAAGTTATTTGTTAATATTTTGTGTTTTGTACAACATAAATGAACTGTTAAACAAATTAGTTAACATTAACCGTCAAAAGTTACTAAAAAATTAAAAATATTAATAAAAAGGAAAAGAAACAGTAAATTAACGCTATTTTTTCTTTATATAATACACAAATTTGTGTATACGTAAAAATATTTTAAATATTGAAGCCATTATTTCTGAAATATATATGGATTGTCTTCCACACCAAACTTATTTGTATGTAATTTCATCTTTCCAAACACTTTTCCTAAATATTGTTATTAATATGAGATAGACTTTATAATGTTTTATATTCTTATATTTTCTTTATGATTATTACATATTATTATAATTAGATTTTAGGTCATTATAAATTTTTTGTTATTCCTTTTTTCATTTATGAAGATAAATTTAAGTTTTTACATACAATATAACAAAAAATAATTATTTGGTTATTAAAACTCTTCATTACGTATAAAATCAAAATTGTGGTCATTTTAAAACAAAAGTTTCAAATACCAAATAAACTTACAGAACTAAAGAAAAATCTACTAAATTGATACTTTTAAAACTTAATAATTATAATTGCAAAACTAGAATTAATTTGTATTGACATACAAAAACATATTTTTTCAAAAACTATTTTTCACATTATAATATTAAAAGTGAAGTTTCTACTTTGTATTACATTTTAAATTAATATTTTTAACGCTTCAATTTTAAATAATTTATAACAAGTATTGTTTTATTTATTTAACGTAATAGATTTATATCATCCTTCACATATCTTATCTTCGGTTGAATTGAAGATTTCAAAAATTATATTGGATAATATTGAATATTATATCCAAAAATACTTTTTCTAATATGAATTTACTTGAGATTGTACATTGCTTAAATTTTTATTTTTTATATATTGTTTTCAAAAAAAATACAACAAAAATAGGTGTTTTGTGATTGCTTGTTTATGTGCACTTTTGTTTTTTGCTCATTTAATTTTCCATCAGCAGTTCTTTAATTTGCTTAGATCAAATTTAAACCTTGGTTACTAATTTTTATATAAATTTGGGAGTTGCTTAGAGAACCTTGCTGACCCTGAGCTCTACGGAACTGATTATACTTTAATCAAAACATTTCAATATCTGCAGATGTAGGTAACATCAATCCATGAAGGGTTGTTAAAGTGGGAGTTAAAGGTAAACAATTTGTGTAAGTTACATTAACACTTAAATTTAAAAATGCCCACAAGTTAACCTCAACAGTGTAATTCCACAGTGTAAGATAGTAAAAAAATTGGAATACATCTTGACTATAGTGGGATTACCTAAGAAATTCATAAACGATTCATTCATTCACGATAAGTAACTGCAAGTCTTTTCAAAAGACAAGAAAATACACCGATTATTTTGCTCAATCTTACAGTTAAGTTTAAAGTACAATATTTTTTTCTAAAAAGTTATGCAGAAACTGGTGTAGACATATGCCACACAACTTTACGGCACTGTAAGTACCACCAATGTGAATATCCTGGAAAGGTAACAATCTAACACACTCAGAAGTAAAACTATATGAACTATATCACACTATGATATTAAAACTATATAATATTAAAGCATTCATTACATTATCAGGGTCATTTCATCCATTCATCAATTTCCATCAGGAGGAAACTTCACTTTGTGGTGTTTTCCAACTACTTCAATGAGCTCAAAATCCGAATGTATGCATAAATGCAAATTAATTTATATAGACAGTGTGAACTCGTTAACTATATGCTGCAACGACACTAACTAAATTATGAACTAATTTATATTGAAATACTTTATTTAATGAGATTATTTGAAATATCTGATCTGATTATCTCTTTATTAAATCTTGAGGATTTTGATGTGCTTACAAAGCTATATGATGTGTGCAAGTGTAACTTTTTGTATATTTTATGTCTTTATTTGTGATAAGTTTTAACGAAGAGTGTGTTGCATAGCAGTGTGATTATCGTATTATCTATAAAGTTAGTATATATCAGCTATTTAGTAAAAAATTTTAGTAAAAATATAAGGAATTTGAGAGTTAACCTTTTAGTTTTATAACTTAATTGTCTTCTAATTGCACAAAGAGATAAATCTATAAAGGTACACTATGTTTAAGACCGTCACAACAACCTATGCATTGGTTTTGTATGATAAATTTTGAATGATGCTGTAATTAATTTTGGTAGTTTTGCATTTTTTAATATATATAGTCATATATAGAATTTTTTAATATATATATAGTTAAAGTCTATTAAAAAATAATTTGTTTAAAGTGATTTATTCATCATATTTATTTAAAGTATATTGTATGAAAGTCATTTATATTAAATTAAAAACATTAACGGTAACTACTATTGTGCGTTATTGAATTAACTTAATATTTACTTAATTTAATTATATTAAATTATATTGTATTAAGTTAATTTACTTTTGTTTGTCCTTGATAAAGTTATTTGCCTTAGAAAATTATTTAAAGATTAACAAAGTCGTTTCAAATTAGTTATATGAAACGTGTAGTTATATAATTTAACTACACATATTTATATTCTGCGCAAAAAATTGTAATAACTGGAAACATTACAATAATATGTAGTTTTTAAGGAATGACTATCCGCCGAACACCTTAAACCCAATCTGATAATTATCGTTGACATATGCTACTCGCTTTTTAGAGAAATCCGGTACTCTGAAATGCTAGCACAGGAACGGAAGGAATAGTTAACCTTAAAGTTATTAAAGAAAGGACTGTATAAACTATTGAGGAACTGCTCTGTTGCCATGTGTTAGCAATGTCAATGTCCATTCTTTGTTATCCTTGTTAAAACAAGGAAACAAAGACGGATAGGACCAAAGTATCGTAAATAATATAATAAAATAACGCACGTAGTTATTAATAAAACCAGCAAGTGACTAGGTTTTTTATTAGACCGTAAATTACTTATATGGAATGTGCTCATATATTGATAAATTATTCAACTAACTGAGATACTGATTAGATATTAAAATCGTTTAAAACAATTTATAGAAATCCTAAGCTCATATTAGAGTATAAATGAAATAATAATGCTGACAATTAGATTATATTGTGAGTATACACAAATATTGCTCTCATTTGGGTTTTTGAGAAGAAACTGAAAGTTAACAGTATCAAATTATATATAGAAAATTATCTATAGAAAATTATCTATATAAAATTATATATATTATCTATATAGTTTATCTATCTATATAGAACGGTTAAGTTAAAAACATAGTTACTGATATATAGTTAATGTCTACGTATACGATTTTTCTTTTTGACTGATTCAGAGCATATGAATGACAATCAGTCAAAAGTGAGACGAAATATACTTAGTCTTATAAAATAGATAAATTGGAATGTAAAATGTGATTTTTTTTGGAAAATTTTAATATAAACAAAAATATTTTTTTAAAGACTAAATTTATTTTTTAAAATAAATGATAGAGTGTACACCAATTATATTTTTCTCATTTAAATGCAAAAACCGAAGGATTTTGCAATTTTGTAGTCATATCAAAATGTTATTGTCACAACAAAATGAGTCATTCAAAATAATTTCACTTTCACTAAAGGTGTTTCACCTTAAAGCTTCAATAACGACAAAAAATTTTAACTTTGTAAATAAGTCACGTACCAGCACCATTTCTATAATCAATTATGATCTACAAAAACTCATTCCTGGTTTACTTTTGTCTAATGTGCCCGCACATATACTATAACAGAGATATTACAATATAAAATGAAGAATGAACAATGTGATATCCAGACACCCACATGATTATTACATAGTCAAGGTAATGAAAGCGAATTAGCCCTAAAATTAGTATGCCATATACGAACACTTTGGGAGTGCGTAATTGCTAAATAGGTGTTCATGTAAAATTTTACGAATTGGGGTTCTACAAGAAAATTTTGATATATAATAGTATTTTTTATACACTATATTTTTAAGATATTTATCAGTTCAATAAAAGATAAAAAATATCTTTATATCTAAATAAACCATTATTTGTATATTATATTGATTTATAAAGTATTATGTTCTAAGCACAGCGGTTTTGAAAAGTTTCTTTTTGAGACAAGTTTATAAAAACATAATTTCCAAAATTAGAGTTAAAAAGAAATGTACATAGAGGGATTCGTCGATTTTATCGTCAATATAATCGAATCGACTATTTGAAAAACAAATGAAAAATTTCGAAGTATGTTTAGTTATTTAATATAGTTCATCACAGATGAAACTATAACAATGTCAACGAAGATTCTAATTTATCCTTTCAGTTACGATTACTAGAAGTTGGTCTCTACCTCTATGTGTATTTGTATTTTTCAATACACAGAGTTGTGACAGATACATCTGTATTATCACTGCCGATAAATGCAGTGCTTGGTGGTGCGGGTTTTGGGAATCATAAATTCAAAAAAATGTAAGTATCGCTATATATATATATATTCAACTATTTCTTGCTTGCAAAAATGCATTGACTTACAATGAAAAAATGTGTGATTGTTAGTAATTTTGTTTCTATTAAATAATACATGTCAAAAATGTTTTATTCCAGATATTAATTTACATAATATTGCACCATATATATAAACATGTACTTTCTATTATTATGTTGCTAGATACTTAGACTTATTATTAGAGTATCTTTAAGTTTAATTTTGTACCAAACCAAAAATGTTATTTATTGTAGTAAATGGTATTTATTATGATATGAATTGTAATAAACGCGATACATATGTTGCTACTTTCGAATCATTATAGTAAAAGTGTTATAATTAACCTATGGGTAGTTAAATTTCA